ACATAGAATAGTATGTCAAAAAATGAAAAAACTGCACACAAAAATGCATGTCATTAAAAAAAAAATGCAAAATGTTTTACAAAAACAATCTACATTAAGATTACAATAATGAGACTTTTTTGTCTGATAGCCAACAGGTGGAATCACATGGCTATAGCAATCAAGCCTTTTATCTTCAATCACTCGTGAGAATCATCTAGCAAAATTTTATACCTCTTTTGAGCTTGATACCTTCAATCTCACTCATCTTCTAAGAAACTGAAGACGTCTCCATCTTTAGTTAATATTTCAGATACATAATATACAACAACAACAACAACATCTAAGACTTTATCCCACTAAATGGGGTCAGATATATGAATCCTTTTTCTCCATTGTGTCCTATTGAGTGTCATATTTTCATTTAATTCAAATAAATTAAGATCATTTTTTATACAAGATGCCCAAGTTTTTTTTGGTCTACATCTACCTTTCTTAACATAAGTCAAATCTAAGACTTTTACTCTACTAGCTGGATCATCAGATGATCGACGTTTAATGTAATCAAATCATCTAAGACAACTCTCTCTAAACTTGACTGCCATTAGAGCTACACCAATCCTTCCATTCACAGATACATTCATTTTGCATTTTGTCTCTAAGTGTCAAGCCACTCATCCACCTAAGCATTCTCATATCAGCAACACTTAACTTAGTTTTACTTAGTTTTATAGTTTTATGCTTCTTTTTTATAGGCCAACATTTTGCACCGTAAAGCATTACAAGTCTCACCAAAACCTTATAAATTTTTGTTTTAAGTCTAAGCAATACTTTTCTATCACAAAATAGACCTGATGCAATCCTCCACTTTAACCATTCAACTTGAATTCTACTAATAGAATCCCTATCTATATCAAAATTACTTTGAACAACAGACCTAAGATATCTAAAATATTTAATCATTTTAATTATTTGATCACACATTGTCAAAACTCTGTTATCATAACTAATACTACTAAAATTGCATTCCATATATTTAGTTTTAAATGAAGTTAAATGAAGGTCTTTAGACTCTAAATTAGACCTCCATAATTTAAGATTTTCCTAAACTCTTTCTTTAGTCTTATCCATAAGAATGATATCATTAGAGAAAAGCATACACTAAGGTGCATCCTGTGTAAATGTCCAGTAAATGCATCCATAACTAAAGCAAAAAGATAGTCTTAAAATAGATCCAAAATGTAATCCAACTGAAATAGAAAAATACTGGTCAATCCTCTTTCTGTTCGAACAAAAGTAACAACTCTTGTATATATCTTTAATAACTTGAATATCTAAGTTTTTTTCTAGATCAATAATATTTCTCTTTCAAACCTTTCAATAAATGTATAACTTCCATAGTAGACTTGTCTGACATAAATCCTAACTGATTATGAGAGATCTCTGTATCACATCTTTAACCTATATTCAATTACTCTCTCCCGTTATTTTAAAGTATTACACGTTAACTTAATTCCTCTATAATTTTGCACAGTCTTGTGCATTCCCTTTATTCTAAAAAAATAGGGGCCAAAATACTCTTCCTCCATTCCTCAATATTAATGTAATGCTTTCAAGTACTTTTAGTTTTGAAAAAAATATTAAAAAATTAGTTAGCTAAGAAACTGTCAAATCTCCAAAATATTTCGACACTTCTATTGGGATATCATCCAGTTCTATTATTTTTCCACCTTTAGTTCTCTTTTAAGCTTCCTGAATTTAAATTTAACTGTTGAGACGTAAAAATAAAAAGTTTTATTATTAAATGATATTAAGATCACTGAGGCCAATCGTATTTTCCAAAACTTCATTCAAAAGTTTATTAAAATATCTCACCCACCTATATTGAATATCTTCCTCTGAGAAAAACACTTTTTATATTAATCTTTAATAAACTTGAATTAATTTTTTACTTTTTTTTCTTTGTTTTGTTAGTTTATACAAAAATTTTTCATCCACTTTAGTATTTAATCTATTACAAAGATCACTAAAAAAAAAATTCTTAGCATCACAATTTGTTCTCTAAGACTTCTTAAGGGCTACCTTATATTTTTTTTTTCTAATTCTCTAAGCTTTATATTTAAATCAATTTTTACAACAAAACTTCTTAATATTATTCCACCAACTATTTCTATTTATAAAAACTTTTTTTTTTGATTCAAATGTTTATTTTGTCACTTATTTAATAGTATTTTTTAACCTTATTTCACATAGAATTAGTTTCTTTATGAACATCTCAAATCTTGAAAAAGTATACTCATAAAAATAATTTTAGTTGTATTTTTAAGTGCTCTTTGCTAATTTTATGACAATATTTCATTGTGTTTTTTTATCTTTCAGCACATCTTAAAAGCCATAACTGATAATCGATGTTAGTACTTAAATTTTCACATAGAATGATATTTACATTCTCGATGGTTTTTTTTCTCATAAGAAAATAATCACACTGTGAATATAGTTCTACCTTCTTCATTAATCACTCAAAAACCGTAGCCGCTGTGAATATTTCTAAAATATTTTACCACTCTATCAACATGTCCATTTAAATCAACCCCAATTAAAATTATTTCTTCGGGAGGTATCATTTGTATTAATTCTTCTAATTCATTCTGAAATGTTTCTTTTGAACCTACTTCTAAACTTACTTCAGGAGCCTAAGCATTTATAACATTACAAATCTTAATATCACCAATAATAATTAGGGCTATAATTCTATCGCCAATTCCAGTAATTGGAGATAGAATTGGATTTCAAAAAAAAAGTTCAACTTGGATTCCAAAAAAATAACTTTCATACTTTATAATTGCAAAACGGTTCTTTAATGAACAAAATGCATACTAAATATTGTGTGCAACAATGAATATCAAAAATTAAATAGCTCTTTGCTATTTACAAGTTTGACAGCAATAAAAACTCATCTATGTTAACTTGCGATGAAATATGGGGATATAAAACTTTGCTAGTAAAATACTCAAAATCAATTAAATAATATTTACCTGTGATGCTTAATAAAATTAATTTTATGAAGACTATTGCGGTTGCGTATTAAATTTTACGCAACCAACTTTTGTATCTTCCAAAATACGTAACAAAGCAATTAGATCATTTAATCAATTTCTGAAGACATTCACATTACATGTTGAACCCTCTCAACTGGCTAGAACATGCACACCTTAAATTGAAATCCATCGTTGTTAGAACATTTGATTTCTGCATGATTTTTTTACTCTATATCGGAACACATGCTGGATCTATAGCATCAAATATAATCATCTATTCTAAAACCAAATTAAATGTTCAAATGCGAAAAAAAATATTTTCAAACATAAGAATGATCATACCTTGAAAAAAGTACAATTATACTATCTTTTTTTATATCTTATATAGAGTTTGGAGCAGTAATAGTTTAGTCAATTCAGGATGCCACTCTTTTATAACATATATTCCAACATTCAAGTATCTATAATAATTTTCCCAAATATCTAAAAATTAAATCTAGTAACCCGATTATGAATATTATGCTTGAGTATATGTAATAACATAGCAACTTATTTTTTAACGTGAACATGAATTGAATTTTAAAAGATATGTCATGGAAATTGACATGAAATACAGTCAAAAATAAATTTTAAGATATAACATAAAGAGATAATTAATGTTGTATATTTTCATCAGGATTACACTTTCACTTTCAGCACCGATCTCTTATAATAATATAAATATAATATTAATTGCAACAATAATGACGGGATGGAGTGCTAAGCATTTATGAATTTGCTCTGTCATCATAGAAGTTATTTGAATGGGACAACTGATCTTCATTGTTATGTAATCATTCATCTATCTTCACATAACATTTTAATACACTTCATGCAAGTTGCATATCCAAAATTTTGGAACAAAAAAAAAAAAAAAATTTATTGCTGGAAACATTTTAATGAAAATAATGAAATTATATTTGAGTTCTTATTGTAATACATTTAACCATTTTATCATAATTGTATACAAGAAAAGATCAACGTTTGCGTAATTATTTTAGTTAGAAGAAAATTATATTAAATAATTTTCACAAAAAAATGTAACACAAGATGCTATCAAAATGAGATTATAATTACCCTAAAAATATCAAGTATAACACAATTGAATTTTACAAGACATGTCATGATATTTTTTTTCTTAATTACACTAAAATAGCGATCCATTGCATCGGATCTCAACCAAAAAAATAGATGACAGAATAAGAAGCCATCTGCTACAAAAAAAAAATTAGAAGTTAACGTTGATGGGTTAAGAAGATTGTTTTATAAGGAGCCAAACACTAACAAAAATGACAATAAAAAGCATGTTAGCGAAAGAAGACGTCCAAGAAGGAATGGAGAAAGACAACGTTCAAAAATGTGGCTACTACATGAGTTTTGCCTTCGATTTTAGAGTAATCAAGGGCAGATTACAATAAAAGTTAGGGCTCCTCTCCAAAATAGCAAGCTCGAAATAGAAATTGGGCATGCACCCAAGTACACAAGATAAAAAGGAGGAGAATGAGAGCATGAGTTATGCATGTTGAATTTCTTTTTTGTTCGATTTTGAGCAACTTTGAATGCAAGAAAACTACGATATTTGATCCATTCAAAATACTTTTAAGAAAAAAAAAGTTTATTTTACATCTAATCAAACATTTGAAATTATGATACATGCTATATTATACACACTAAATATTTCAAACTAAACAACCTTATGTCAAAAATAATAGCATTTGATCAGGTTTTCTACCAAAAATTCATATTGTTTATTTGTGAAAACTACAGTTTATTAAGTCGAAATTGGAAAAAATTTAGAAAAAAAGGATGTAAAAAATTTTGTTAGCTTTTCAACAACACCAAAAATCATTAAATTTCATCAAAGAATAAGAGAATTATGTCAAAAATAACAGCATTGGATCAGATTTTTCAGTTTACTTTATAAATAATCAAACAACCTTTATAAGTCAAACAACCCCTAAGTATTCAAACTACATTGTTTTTTCTTTTACTGTACATGCATCTAATCATACAGAAAAAATAATTATTACGTATTTACTTTACTTTACGGGCAACCAAATAACCAATGAGTATCATTAATATACTATAATCTGATTACTCTGCATTCCTTTTAAGCAAACCCAAACAGCCCTAATTACGCTACATTAATTTTATCAATATTTACAATAAATGCTCAGAACACATAAATTTATTTTCATACTTCATATCCAGTCTCACTAAAATAATCATCACTCCACTCTTCCTAATTTATCATTACCCCTTAACTTAATTATTATTGAATTATATATTTCGAAATAACCAAATGTGTACACAATGCAATTATAATTTACTAAATTAACACAAGTAATTTTATCATTTAATGCTTAAAAAGAAATTTTGAATAAGCATAAGTAAATCACATTTAATTAAAAGAACTGCCAGTTCAATGGCTGACAAAATTAGAAATGGCTCAGTCTATCAGATAGGTCCCAAAGCCTGAAACTGGATATAACTTCAGTAAATCACATGAAAATCAGAACGACAAGCCTGGTGGTCTACCTCCAGTGAACAACAGACCAGGCCTGGAAAGCTTAAGCCAGTCTACTTTACCACGTGACACAAGGCTTAATGAAAACTTACCAAACAGAAGAATCTACGGGTTTATAAGAAAAGGCATAAGAATTAAAGAAACACAATATACTAATATTAGTTACGAAAATCATCTGAATGATGAGTAACCTTATTCCAACTATTCCAATTTATAGCTACAATCATTACCGATAACAAATATACCAAATAACTAATCTTAGAAGACATTGCAAACCCTTCGAGAACAAAAAAAAACCAAAAAACAAAAAGAACTTACGGGTTATTGGTTCATTGAGAACTTTTCTTCCATTGCCTCTTTTTAGTTCCAGTGAAATTTTCTAACTAGAAAGGTTGCCATTATTAATGCCAGAAGAATTAAAAATTTTGAATTTACTTATACAAAAAAAACTAATTGATGAAAATAGCATTAACATTAATCATAAAGTAAAGAACAATTAGTAAAAACTATTATGTAACCACATAAATGAAAGGTCAAAAAAATCATACCTAAGCAGGCACAATGGATTTCACCATATCAAGAACAACAATTGACAAAGATCTACTTTGCTCTACATAAGTGTGCTGTTTTGAACCTCCCAAGACTTTGGAACTATCAAGTGAAAGAACAATATAACTCCAAACATAAGAGAAGGTTAGCTCCAAGGTCAATTTTTATCAAGCATAAAATCTGCAGCAACAAATAAAAGATTTACGTGTGATTAATTTATGTTACAAGAAACACGACAACCTACTCAAAAATTTATTGGAATGAATGCAGTAAAAATCGTAGTGGCATGTTGTCCATACTCTTATACATATATCAAAACTTGAAACTTCGGGAACAAAATAGAAACAAACCTGGCCACGACAGAAACCGATTACTGGACAAAACATACATACATAAATGTTTACCTCATATGATATATTTCCTGTGGCTGCTGAATCGCATTGCTCCAGCTGGATTATATCCACTTCCTCTATCCAAAAAAACCAACAAAAAATTGAAAAGTTTCAACGGAATCTCCCATATTCCTTGTAGCGATGATCTCTCTCACACTTTTCCCAGCCTTTAACCATCACTTGTTTATCATTATCAAGCCGCTCATCTCTAGACTTAATTATTTTACTAGAGTGCCTGGAACTGTGACTAGACTCTCGTTCCTTGTGGAAATTTTTATGGTCAATGGAGGATTCAGGTTCCAAGCAAAATTCTGATTGATTATACTGATTGTTGCGACGTCTTTTAACCAGAGTAACAAAGTCACCATCTTCAGGCATCCTACTCCTACAATGGTTTTTCCAGCTACAATCACTCCCACTGTGCTCAGAACAGTTGTGTTGGTGATTTTTTCTCTCTCTACTATGCCTTCTGGTGTCATTAGACAAATCTTGTAAATCAGATTTTGATTTCTCAGAAAAATGAGCTCTCTGTTCCCTTCCACAGGCAAAAATACAAGGTTCCTTATATTTCTCATCAATCAAATGAAACTTATCATCGTGATAACTTGGCCTTTGACGAGTACTATTATGTGTGTAATGAGAGTTCTTTCTGTGAGCCCTCTGCTCCTCATCATCAGAGCTAGTATGTTTATCTGGTTGAATTCGCCATGCAGGCGATCTTTCAGCTCCACCAGAGTAGTAATCTTCAGATAAATCAGAATCAAGATATCTAACAAATCCAAGAATTAGCACATTAAGAGAAGCAACCAACAGAGGAAATAGAAAAAAAAGCAATTAATAAAGCATTTAGAATTCTAGGAATCTCAGGTACAATGGTTCAAGTTGTGGCCATTAAATTAACAAATAAATAGTCAAAGAAAAGCCTCGAAATATCTAGTTGGACTCCAAAAGCTAAAACATTTTATAATATGCATACATGGAGAAGAGAGAGCAACAAAGCTATGTTACAATAATAGAGCAAGCCCTCAATCAGCTCCAGCACATATTAGATTTTAATTTTATAGCATTCAAACGCATCAGCAACATTTAGGTTAGACACATTTATTGAAGGTAATATTACCCCAAACCACGGCCCCGCTCTCCTCATTATATTTTACTACCGTGCATTAGTCAAAATACTATTGAAATGAACAACTTGTTTAGTAGTATCGACACACCACAAAAGAATCTGATATGTTTAAACCCCCAAGTTATTTATTAAGGATACATGAAATTTCACAAAAATCCTCTTTGCTCAGTCTTCAAACATTGGTATTTGTTGAAATAATCCAAAATCTGTGGCCCATAGCTTTCCATCTATAACAATCCATAGACAACAAGTTTCTTGCTACAAAATTATCCATGGACAAAAACTTTCTGTTTATACTATATAGTTAATTCTAAATTCTAGAATTAATTATTGTTTCCAAAGTTACTTCTTTCATAAATAGTTTTTTCTCCACTAATTTATATATAGTTTTTTCTCAATTTTATATAGAACAAGATGATAAATTTCATTCATAAATCTCTTATTTTCTACTCACCCCTCCTTTCCTTCTAAATTTTAACATGGTATCAAGCATATTACAATTCTACTCTTTGTGAGTCTGATGGTTCTTTAACACGAAAGTCTCTTCTCTAAGCAAACAAATTTTTCATCCTCAAGCAAATATCCAACACAGACAATCATTCTCCCAAAACAAACTTTTTTCAAAAGGTTAATGGAATAAAGCTTGGTTAGTCAAATAAGTAAATTTTATTAGATACACTCACTACAAATAAGAAGAAAACCACAACTTGTATAATAAAATTGAGAGTACCAGGATACAGCAATTTCTTCCACAATTACAGCTCATATCATGAAAATTATAATGTTTGGATTATAAGTGGGTTATTCTCATAAGTGATTATCATACATTGTCATTTCCTTAAAATATCTAATATAATTATGTGCTTCAATATACAATCAAGATTGTAACATACTATCAAATAGAAAACTTACTCAAGAAAAAATTTACGGTGTTATGTTCTCATTTAATCTATCAATTTCAAGAATTGAACTTAGAAAAGAGATTGGTAGTGCGAAGATGTATTTAGGACTTTACATTATAAAAAATTCCTTCAAGACATAGAAAAATAATGAAATTTATCTACTAGAAATTATCATTTCAGATTTTAAATACATATCAAATAATGATAGTAATGTCAAGCTTTAGCACTATTACCCAAAAAATCCAAACCCAACTTACCATTAAAAAATATTATTTCTCTATACACTAGAAAAATATATACTTTCTGTAAATTTTGTCATATAGCTAAATACACTCATATCACAATGGAACATGCAATGATTCCCATCTTTTTACTTTAGTCTATAGTGATGTGGGAACAAGATGATTTATTTCCTTCATTAATGATCATACCATCTCACTGGGATTTTGTTAATGAAAAAAATTCAAAGCGAGATAAATTTCAATCATTTCAGCAACGTGATTCGTAATTAATTTCAATCCAAAATCAAATTCCAAAAAATCAATAATAACAAAAAATACATCAATTTTAAGAAATGATATCCTATATAACGGGATTATCCATAAAAACTTTTATGTCAACGTCCTTTAACAAAATGAAGTTTCTGAAAAAGAAAATTAGACACCCTTAAAAGCGGTTAGACTAACAATATTTTCAGCAAATATTCCTAAAATTCACTAGAGAGAAGCTGTCATAATAGCCCTTATCACATGAATAAAAAGCCCTCAAAAATAATAAAATTTCAAACCCATAGTCAAATCCTTTTCTTCGTTCCGCAAATAACAAAACATTTTTTTTCACAGAAATAATTGGGTGTTCATCATGAACTCCTTAGCAAATTAGACCATAAGTCTATTAAGAGTACTGTCACTAGTACTCCGCATATCAAAAGGATACAAATGCCCCAAAGCAGAAGGACACAACCACTCGAAAATTTTATGTGTGCATAGAAGTAACCTTTCATGAACACCAACCATACTAACCCAAACGATATAACGAAATTAAAAAACAAAAATCTTAATGTTAAAGCCAATTTCAACATTCATTATCCTCTCTTAAATCAAAGGATAAAATTAAAATGTGGCACAATAGCATTTCCCACACGAGAAGAAAATTTTAAATTTGCATAGATGTAACCTTCCTTAAACACCAACAATACTACTCCATACCCAAACTTAAGGGGAAGAATAATCCAGAACAAAAACTGTAAGGTAGGAACTTATTTAATCATTCACCATTCTCTCTTATCAAATTCACGGATAAAACATATTTTGTATTGCCCCTTATTTTACCTACCAAAGTCTCACTGAAGCCATAATACCGTTATCACCTCACCATGTTAGCACATCAAACAATTGAAGCCCTCAAGAACTGCAAACTCCCATATTTCCTTGTCATTACACCAAACATATACGAAATTTTCTTTATTTTTATAAAATGAGTGAAAAGAAAATTTAAGAAATAGAGCAATCAATCAATCATAAACATACAAAAACCACAACTTGATTTAAGGATCAATGGAGTAGTGACCAATAAGAAAAACTTCTTGATACTAATCATAATCATTCTATAGCCTAAAACTGACGAAGTCATGCACGAAACACCTAGTCTATAATTCCATGTCTTATAAAGGGATCTCGCCTTAATTTCGTGCTTTTGTCCTTTCAATTAATATAATCATATTCCAAATAAAATACATGAAGCTACAAATTAAAACCCCACATCAAACGAAAGTTGTAACATATGAAGTTATGGTGTTAAAAATGAATGGTAAGTGGGCAACCTTCAAACTTCCACCAAAAAAATAGACTAAATACAAATGAATCGTTAGAGTTGAACATAAGGAAAAAGGGAATAAAAATATTTGAAGTCCAACTTTTTGCAAAAAGGACATTTAAACAAATAATTAAACTTTCATGAAAGATTTCCCTTCATGCCAAACACAACAGAATTCAAATTTGGACTAGATTTCACATTAAACAAATATTGAGAATGATTTTTATAATGAAGACCATAAAGTAGAAGTATATACCCACCTAAATTAAAACAAAAACAAAAAAGAGAGAGAAACACAGATAAAGAAAATCGGTTCAAAAAATTTTTAAAAAAAACTATATATAGCCACAACAAAAATCCTCGTACGAGGTCTGCAAATTCTCCAAATTCATAGGAGAAGTGTGGGAATACTATTGTCAGGCAAACTATGCTATCTTCATTAAACACTCTTAGAAAGAGAAAAAATAGCTATGTTCTATATGTCTATAGGTGATATTGAAGTAAGAACCAACAAGACTAAAAGGATTTCTAGCAAGAGAATTTGATACAAAATTTAATAAAATCTAAAATATTTTATTGGGACGGAAATGGCCTAATCAAAGTATGATAATGTTATTTACCAATACAAAACATAAATATCTAGATTTTAGCATACAGAAGCAACAATAGGCCTAACTACGCAAGTTGGGATCACCACTAACAACACACTCGTTAATAATGGTAGGTATCAACGCATCAACCCCACTCTCATTTGGCTTGATATGGGATTCCATGTTAGGGTTGAAGGTCAATATATGAATAAACCTACTAAAGACCATATAGAAGCTATTAACGGCATTTTAATGTATCTCAAGTTGAGTTAAAAAAAAAGTCAATTGCCTGAAACTTCATCTAGAGAGAAAATAAAAATTTTTCATAGACATTCAATTGGTTGGAGACACATTAGAAAGAAAATCCACCTTTAACTATTGTTTCACGAGGAAGACTAATTACATGAAGATAATAAGAAATAGTTTGTGGTATCACAACATAAGTTTCAAGTTACACATAAGGTTGTTGCACTAGATAGCAAAAGAAAGTAATTGCAAATATTAAAAGAACTAAACCACCAAGTGAAATTTCCCTTAGAAATATAATATGACAATTAGACTATCATAAGGGTTGTAAGAAAATATTGGCTATCATGATAGGACTAAACATATAGGCATAGACAAAATTTTCACCAGTATTTCAATATAGAAATAATTCAAAATGGACTAGCTCAACTAAACTATGTTTTGCCAAACTCACAAATCACGGATATCCTACCAAAACTTTACCCATAATGAACTTTAATAATCACATAAACAAGTTAGGATGATGAACAAATAGAACCCAACCTAAAGGAGTGTGTTAAAATAATATTGACTCCAAGGGTAGCTCCTTTCCGTCTACAAAAATACAAAGCGATCCATACTATAGCTTTCTATCTATATCACTAATTATTTATAGATTACATAAGTACCAATTGATTTTCAAACTTATTAACCTCCTAGCTATTTATTTCCACGACCATTTATGCACTTGTCATTTTTTCACACATGTAAGGAAATAAAATTTGATCATAAGCTTTATAAGATTTTTTACTCTCCTCTCTTCTCATTCTAATTTTCAAGAGTAAGAATATACATTCAAAGAATTTCTAGCAAGAGAATTAGAGATAAAAAATTTAAGAGAATCTAAAATACTTTTTGGGACGAAAAAGGCCTAATCAAAGTAATATAATGTTATTTACCAATGAAAGTGTACACTCTCGATCTCCACAAAACAAAAAATATCTAGATGACAGAATATGGAATCACCAATAGACCAAAATATACAAGTTAGGATCACTGCTAACAACACACTTATTGATAATTGTAGGAATAAACACATCAACCACAC